TATGTTGATATACTGAAAGTTTGGATGATATAAATCAAAGTGCGGAAATACTAATATAATTCTAAAACATATTTGTAGCCAACATAGCTTAATATGAAAGTCTGAGACTCTGTCTAACTGTTACTCTAGTCTATGAAGTCTCTATTGAAGTACTGAAAACACTGACTATCTTTAAATACTGAAAGGCTGTAAAGTAATGATAATGCCCCGAAAGAACTAGGGATCACCAAATAGCTGGTACGAGAATCCTAGCGCTCTACGTCGTCGACCTGTAAATCATTACCTGCATTGTGAGATGCAGGCCCCGGGCAAAAAAGGGACGTTAGTACATTTGAATTGTACTGGTATGTAAGGCAACTGAAAGAAAGAATTATAAATGCTGAAACTGAAACTAAGCTGATATCTGAGAATTGATAATTGATAACTGATATGATAACTATTGAAACTGAAACTAAAATGATAACTGATAACTGATAAATGAAATGATAGCTAATAAATGATAACTAGACTGATAACTGATAACTGAACTGATAACTGATAATTGAACTGATAACTGGTAACTCATATGATAACTGATAACTGAACGGTGACTAATAATTGAACTGAAAGGAAGTAAGGATATGAATACTCCCTCTTCTGAATGATGAACAACCTGTTTATCTGAATATTAAACTGCGGCCTCAGGCCCAATATATATATGTGCACAAACTACGGCATCAGGCCCAAGTATACGTATACATAACTGCGACCTCAGGTCCAAAATGCTTAAAGCATAAACTGCGGCCTCAGGCCCAAAGATGTATAAAGCATAAACTGCGGCCTCAGGCCCAAAGATGCATAAAGCATAAACTGTGGCCTCAGGCCCAAAGATGCATAAAGCATAAACTGTGACCTTCGGCCCAAGTACAAGTGTTCAACATTCAGGGATTTAAAATCAGGAACTGAGAATCATACTGCAATATATGATAGTGAAATACTGAATCACATTGAGTTACATAATACTGGGATACTGAATAGGACTAGACTGAGACATGTATTCTTGAACTGATTATGAACACTGAAACTTCAACTGTTTATGGCATACTGAGTAATCTATACTAAGACTCGGGGGCATCAAACTCAAGTCTATATTGAATACACACTGAGCTTACAACGTTCAGAATGAAAGTCATGAACGAGTTATGAAGCTATAGAATAGAAGCTCTACAACTATTCAAGGAACTAGGCTTAACTATATGAGGCAATTGATACGTCGTAAAAGAAATGTAGTGTAGGGAGAATCATTAATATTCCCAAACATAGAGAGTTAGCCTCACATACCTTAACTTCCTGCTCTTGAGCATAATACAACATTCGCCAACCCCTTCAACTTCAATATATATCAATACAAGTCAAATGGATTCCGTATTAGCAATAATACTCATGTTTTGGTCAATTAGGCATTTTCTAAAACACTTGGTGGCATAAAGCTTCATAGTCCTTATTAATGGTGTCTCTACACCCAATAACCCATTCTTTTGCTCCTAGATAAATTCTAAAGTCTCAAATAGTTGATTATTCTTTATCACCCATAAGGTAAACAACACCCTTAACCAATAATCAACAATCAACAAGCCAAACCTATAATTGTTCATGTTTTTCTATCAAACCCATCAACTCATATCTCATGATGAGTCAATAATCATTAATCCAATGCTAGAATCAATTAGAGGGTAAAGACATTACCTTTTTGATGTTCAATCTTCTTGAATTCGAGTTCTAGGGTTTCTTCTCTCAACAATGATGCCCCAAATGAATATCTAATGATATGGAGGGTTTACCCATGTTAATAAGATGTTGGTATATTGAAATTAACTTAGAATCACCATTAGAACTTACCTTGGGTGGTGGGAGGACCCTTAAGGAGTTAGGTTTTTGAGAGTTTCTCTTTCTAGAGCAAGTTTTTATGTTTTGGGGCTGTGGGGGACGAAATATAGCTTTAAAACGACCCCCACTAGCGCACCTGTACATCTGAAGGCCTGCCCGCACTACTGACCGCGCTAAACAGCAGTAACACTGCCTCAAAATTAGCGCGGCCGCGCTAAGGGTGCGCTACCGGCGCGCATATCGCATACTATTCTGTAAAATGCGCATAACATTTTGCACAAAGATCTGTTCGGGCTCCATAATATATCATTGGAAATCTTTTTCAAAGTCCTACGACTTTCATGCTTTGTGTTTTCCTAAATGCCTTACTCATTTTCACTAAAACCTACTGGAATATGAACCTTCTGCAAACTTAGTCGATTTTGTCAAATCTTATGCACCTCACTTTCCATCTTGATTTTGAAATAACTATTTTCACCCATAATCATCTCGATGGGACTTTACATGCCCAAAATATAACCTTACTACTCCTTTAACTCATTCATACCTGAGCCAAATTTACGGGGTGTTATATTATCTCCCCCTTGGGATCTTTCCTCCTCGAATGATTGTCCTGACTGTAACTTCTGCTAACTTCGAACCTTAAACGGGTCTGGTGGAAACATGAACTTTCATTAACACTTGTATACTAAACTGAATGAATACCTGATTACTGAACTGTTGCAATACTAAACTGAATGACTACTGCATTGACTAAATATTGGTCTTCCATGGATACGTGAATACTGAACTAATATGGATATATGAATATTGAACTGGCACGAATATTTGAGTAATCTGAGTACTAAGTTGGCATAAATGTCTAAGTATTGGACTAACATGAGTATCTGATATTGAGTTGACATGAGTATCTAAGTACTGAACTGACATGAATATCTGAGTACTGAACTAACATGAGTATCTGAGTACTGAACTGACATGAGTATCTGAGTACTGGAAACTTGAATGTTATAACATGAAACGTGAAATATTGGCTGTACCACCACTAATTATGGTGGAAACTCCAACTCATAAGCTAATTGACCGATCCTTCGCAAGAATCTATATGGCCCAATATAGCAGAGACTATGCTTCCCCTTCTTCCCAAATCTCACAACGCTTTTCATAAATGAAACTTTCAGAAACACCCAATCATTAACTTGAAACTCTAAGTCTCTATGCCGCACGTTCGAATAGGACTTTTGGCAGCTCTGAGTTTTCTTCAAACGCTCTTGAATCAGCTTAACTTTCTCCATTGCCTGATAGACTAAATTTGGTCCCAACAATTCCTCTTCACCAACTTTGAACCAACCAATTGGTGATCTACACCTTTGCCCATACCGAGTCTCTCATAGTGCTATCTTGATACTAGAATGGTAGGTGTTATTATTAGTAAGGTCAACGAGAGATATGTGATTATCCCAATTACTTTAATATAAAGGACATATCCTCAATTGTTTGAATGATGCGCTCTGCCTGGCCATCTTTCTGAGGATGAAAAACTTGTGCATAATCCTTTCTTAAAGGACTTCTAAAAGTTCATTTTAAACTGAGCACCACAATCCGAAATGATGGACAACGGAGTCCCATACATCAGGCGATTTCCTGAATGTACAACTCAGTATAACCTTCTACTGAATCTGTAGTTTTTACTGGCAAGAAGTGTGCTAACTTGGTAAGTCGATTTACGATCATCAAATCAAATCATGCTTTTAAAATGAGCAAGATAATCCCGTTATAAATTTCCATATTTACCATCTCCACTCAAAAGTATATGTATCTTGGGATGAAAACACTAGACTTTCTACTGCTCGACTTTCACTTGCTAGCAATTCGGACAATTGGCCATAAAGTCTGCGACGTTTTTTTTCATGTCGTTCAACCAATAAATCTCCTTGGTCATGATGCATATTTGGGGAACCTGGATGGAAAGAATATCTGGGATTATGGGCTTCTAACATGATTTCCCCTCTTTAAGTCCATCTATGTCTGGAACACACAATCTGTCTTGGTACCTCAAAGTACCATCATCTCCCCCTTATTCAGAAGCCATCGTTTTATACTTGTGAATCTACTCTTTCAACTGCAACACGTAGGGATCATCAAACCGTTTCTTCTTCACTTCGGCTACTAAGGAAGAACAAATTCTGTTCTGGACAATAATTCCACCATCTTCAGAATCCGAAAGCCAAACTCTTTGCTTGGCTAAGCGGTGAACTTATTTCACCATAGTTCTCTTGTCTGTCTCAATCATGAGCTACACTTCCCATACTTGATTATCATTCTAAGCACTTCCTGAAAACACTTATAGCATTATTGCTATCTAAGTCTTTGACTTGTACTCCACAATTAGAGTCTTGTGCAATGGATTTACCCTCATAACACATAAATAGGCATGGTTTTATAGCTTTTCTTTGATCACTTTATCATCAATAACTAAGCTCGGTGATCATTCTACTCACTTTGTGTTTCTTACACATGCTATACATAATCCCTGTGGTAATTATACAATTTTCCCTCATTACCAAACTAATTTTCTTTTTTATATCCCATGCTGACTATTTGGGTTTCAAATCACTAACTGGACTTACAAAAAAAATTTGCATTGCATCTGAGTATTCCCTTCTCTCTAGGAAGACCATGAATAGTCGTTTTTCACAGAGATCTGTTCGGGCTCCATAATATATCATTGGAAATTTTTTTCAAAGTCCTACGACTTTCATGCTTTGTGTTTTCCCAAATGCCTTACTCATTTTCACTAAAACCTGTTGGAATATGAACCTTCTGCAAACTTAGTCGATTTTGTCAAATCTTATGCACCTCACTTTCCATCTTGATTTTGAAATAACTATTTTCACCCTTATGAGGAGGGAGGCATAGGTTTCAGGTCCCTACATGATGTATCCAAGGCCCTTTTCTGCAAATTGTGGTGGAATTTCAGGACTAAGCCTACTTTATGGAGTGCATTTATTAGTCAAAAGTACTACAAGAAACTAAATGCAGTAATTGTACCTTGGAAGCGTGGATCCCACGTGTGGAGAAAAATGCTATAATGTAGGGATTTGATTGAGCACCAAATCTACTGGAAACTGAGAATGGGATCAACACAATTCTGGTTCGACAATTGGACTGAGATGGGAGCCTTATATTTCCAAGTGCTTGCAGAGTTTGGCATCGATGAGGATATTCATAATGTTAATGATCTGGTTGAAAATGGTATGTGGAATGTGGATAAAATGTTTGAGAGCCTACCTGAAGATTTTGCACACCACATTGTGCAGAACATTAGACCACCAACTGAAAGTTCACAGTTAGATACTCCTTTCTGGATGCTTGAAACAAGGGGACATTTTACAGTAAAGTCTGCATGGGATTACCTGCGAAGAAGAGCCAACCCAAGATTAGCTTACAAGATGATATGGGTATAAGGTTTACCTTTCAAGATATCATTCTTCCTATGGAAGGTGTGGAAAGCCAAACTGCCACTTGATGATTTCTTGCGTAGACTAGGATACTCCATGCCTTCTAAATGTTGGTGTTGTGCTGATCCTAAGGAGGAGTCATTAGTACATTTGTTCTTCACATCAAATACAGCTAGAAGTGTTTGGAGTTACTTCATGAGGAGAGCAGGAATTGCATTAGATGGGTTGTCATTACATCAAGCAATTACTAAGTGTTGGACAGCACCAATAGTACCTAGATTGAAGCCAGTATTACAAGCTTTACCTGCATGCATAGTATGGGAACTCTGGAAAAGAAGAAACAGTTTGAAATATGGAGAAGCAGTGTCAGTGAGTAGAGTTATTTACCAAGTGTCATATACTTTGCAATCGCTGGTCAAACTGAAAAAGCCAGGACTACAGGTGCCTCACAAGTGGCTGGACTTACTGACAATGATAGAGCAATACACACCTCGACTGAAATATGATAAAGTGTTATGGGAATTTCCTTCAAGAGGATGGATCAAAGTGAATACGGATGGAGCATGTAGAGGGAACCCAGGAGGAGTTCAATTGGTTTATGCATAAGGGATGAGGCAGGTGATTTGATATATGCAGAAGGAAGGGAGATCTCTGAAGGAACTTATAATGTATCAGAAGCAGCAGCTATTGCGGAGGCATTGAAGATGTGCAAAAGTCTTAATTATTTCCGGATATGGTTGTAGACAGATTCTCTTCTATTAAAGAACATTATAGAGGAATCATGGAATCCTCCTTGGTATATAACTGAACATGTAGAGGAGATTATAAGACTGAAGGAACAAAGTATCATCAAGGTCACTCACATATTCAGAGAAGGGAAAACATTAGCAGACCACATTGCCAATTATGCTCTAGATGAAAGAAATACTGAGTGCCATGGTTTCTGGGATCTGGACTCAAAAGGAAGGAGGATCATTAACGAAGATAAGATGCAATGTCCTTACATAAGAGTAAAGGTTGCAAGGAATTAGGAGGACAAGGGGAAGGAACAAAGCCAAAAAAGAGATAAATATGGAGTGGAACAAAGGCAAAATGAGAAGGAGAAACGGAATGGACTTAACTAATCAGCAGGGTCGAATCCTATGGGAAGAGATCTTGATGATCTTCTATTATACTAACATTTGGTGTTTATGTGTAGGGAATGGTAATGTGGAGATGACTTATCATGATTGTCAATTTCATTGGGTGGTATTAGTACATGGTACTCAATACCTTGAAAGAGATATCGTGATATGCATAAGCAGGGAACATATGATCAGAATGCCCAGATCGATTGCATGGGGCACTGAAGTCGAGTCTAATGCACAAGTTGTGATACACCCTCAAGTATCACAATGCTTATGGCATTCAATGATGCAAATTTTCGACAAAACCTCTGCTAAAGAACAAAAGCAAATCAATAATAGAGCACAAAAGGGATGGCTAAAGGCATTGGAAACATATCCAGCATGGGGTGCAAGCGTGCATTCAATTCCTTGGATATACAACCAGCATGTTGTACAAGTGCTTAATTTCGATGAGAATCTTGCCATTAAACAAAAGCCATCGCAGCTTTTAGCATGTGGAGCTCGCCAGATTCCAAGAAGAGATGGATACGAAGGCCAATGCTGTCTTTTTGATATTTTAAATGGATACATGCTTCATCAAGGACATGGAATACACAAATGCTTTCTACCATTATTATATGAATGCATGTTTCAAGATGTTTGGGTCCTAGAGAGTACTCGGTCGACGAGCTACAAGAGTTGGGAGGACATTGTAAATTAAAATAGGATTGCACGCCTGTTTTTCACAAAGAATTGCACGCTGGCATACACATGGGAAAGAAGGAATGCGCACGGGGTTTCGATAACAAAAAGCTGGGACATGGAACTGTTGTCTGGCAGTGTAACGCAAGCTGGACAATGAATTGGAATATGCTATTTTGGTCAAGCATGATTTCTCACGTTTCTAGAGGGGCATGCATGGCATACACATGGATGCAGAAAGACATGCACTAGTACATTGGGATGGCAATGCTGTCGAGAAAGAAAGGACAACAACTGGATTAAGAATCGAAAGGAGCAATGCACTTTTGGCAGCTTTTAATTGTTTATTAGTTATCGACGGATGCTTTTTCAACGAGGAAGTCAGCCATTATACAATAGGGACAGCAGATCAACGCACGCTTGACTTTTCATCTGAGCACGTTGAAAAAGATTTGCATCAGAAGCATGTTGCAACCCTGTTCCTAGCTGAAATATTTGATTGTTCCTCTATCGCATGAGGAGTCGACAAAAACAATGCAAGGACGTAGAATTTGAGCATGCAATTCAATTTAGCAACTCCATAAAATCTGGGGTGCTGGAGCAAAAAACTGGAGAATGAACATGCTCTTGAACATTAGAGGACCTTTAGAGACTTGGGCAACGCATGGTAATCTTCAGTTTGTAATCACTAAAGAAGTCATGGAGATTCGACAATGGATTAGCGTCTTTTTGAAAAAAAAGGTCTTATACTTGCGGTTCCTTCCCTTTTTTTTCGGGATTCTAACAACTTTCTTTATCTTCTGCAACTCTTTGCACTTTACGTTAATGATGACTCATCTCCCAACTTACCTCTGAGAAATCTTTCTTGCTAGGAAAAACTAAATTATTTACATAAACGGAAAGCTTATGTCTTCATAACTATCCTACATAATCGTAATGATTTAACTCTGCCCACACTATCAATCCTAGAGAAATCACATTTTGATAATTCCTAAAGGCTATTCTTCTATAGTTTGCTCTCTCACTGTTAGCTGATTTTTTTTCCACTGCCACTGTACTTCGGGTTTAACTTAAACTCTTTGGGCTCTGACACATGCGTTCGGTATTTTCAAACTGCCATCCACTCACTAGAGATAACCTGGCTAAGTGGATCAAATCTCACCTCTACTAGCTCAGCTGAAATTGCTAATTCACTGTATCTACTCAAAACTTACTTAATATCCTTTTACTAACCACCTACTAGCATCATATTTTCTTCTCCTGCTTTGAATAACTAAAATGAAGCATAAGGTTACTCCTAACTTCCCTTATCATCTGACCATATTCTTTTTCCACAGATTATCATTTTTTTGAACTATGTACATGGATCACACTTAGGGAAATTCATCTGTCTTAAACAAAATTAGAATATTTAACCCCAAACTTTCTATATAATACAAAATCATATCATACTATAAACATCCGCGGTAATCACTTAGTCACATAACCTAAGGGGGAACTGCCATATCTTTTATATTTTGTCAATAGCTGCTTCTTATAGTAGCCTACTAGCGTGGTACTTCTAGTTCTGATTTGAATAATTCTAAACAACTTAAAATCATTCCCTGAAATTCAGTATTGGCTGCTCTTGGTTCTCATTTCATACATCATATCTTCTTGTCATTTGCATGAGTTATACGAAATCACATCTTTGGTAATAACAAACGTTTCTGACTCCTAGGTATTTTCCCCTTAGTCTTTTTTTTTTCCAAAACTATAATGACCAATTCTAGGCCATTTGCGGTCAAATTCTTAACCTGCTACACTGTAGGGTCTGACATACAGATACACTACCACACACATCTGATAAATCACTTCATGCACCATCCAGTGAGTCTTGGGTCTTAATCCCTAAAACTTGCGAAGATTTCGCTATAATCATTGTTACTTACATTTTCCTCGAGAACCCATATGCATCCCACTTTTAACGTCCTCTTAAGTCTCATTTTACCAACTTGTACTCCATAATTATACCCCAATGATCAATTATCCTCTCTAAGACCTTAGGTTTCTCCTGCGCGTCGCTTGGGCATCCAATACGTTTGGAATTCGATAGGAAGAGAAGGTTAACTATGGCTCTAAGCTTCATGGCACGATCTAGAGTAGAAAGAAATGAGCAATCCTAGATGTCTTGGTAGTTAACCGTTTATATGAGTGGCCGGCACACACATATAAAGGAAACTCCACTGGACACGGCTTCATGGACTCCCTAGGACTCTTGAACCTAGTGCTCTGATACCAAGCTTTGTCACGCCCCGAACCTGGACCTGGACGTAACACGGCACTCGGTGCCTAACTACATGTGACCGAGCGAACCAACTGGCTGGCTGAATCAACATGTGATATCATAACATACTAAATGCGGAAGATAAACTAACATATGTTGATATACTGAAAGTCTGGATGATATAAATCAAAGTGCGGAAATACTAATACAATTCTGAAACATATTTGTAGCCAACATAGCTTAATATGAAAAGTCTGAGACTCTGTCTAACTGTTACTCTAGTCTATAAAGTCTCTATTGAAGTACTAAAAAAACTGACTATCTGTAAATACAGAAAGGCTTTAAAGTAATGATAATGCCCCGAAAGAACTGGGGATCACCAAATAGCTGGTACGAGAATCCTAGCGCTCTGCGTCGTCGACATGTAAATCATTACTTGCATTGTGAGATGTAGGCCCCGGGAAAAAAGGAACATCAGTACATTTGAATTGTACTGGTATGTAAGGCAACTGAAAGAAAGAATTATAAATGACGAAACTGAAACTAAGCTGATATCTAAGAATTGATAATTGATAACTGAAATAATAACTTTTGAAACTGAAATGATAACTGATAACTGATAATTGATAAATGAAATGATAGCTAATAAATGATAACTGGACTGATAACTGGTAACTGAACTGATAACTGATAACTGAACTGATAACTGGTAACTGATATGATAACTGATAAATGAACGGTAACTAATAATTGAACTGAAAGGAAGTAACGATATGAATACTCCCTCTTTTGAATGATGAACAACCTGTTTATCTGAATATTAAACTGCGACCTCAGGCCCAATATATATATATATATATATATATATATATATATGTGTGCACAAAATGCGGCCTCGGGCTGAAGTATACGTATACATAACTGCGACCTCAGGTCCAAAATGCATAAAGCATAAACTGCGGCCCCAGGCCTAAAGATGCATAAAGCATAAACTGCAGCCTCAGGCCCAAATACAAGTGTTCGACATTCAGGGATTTAAAATCAGGAACTGAGAATCATATTGCAATATATGATAGTGAAATACTGAATCACATTGAGTTATATAATACTGGGATACTGAATAGGACTAGACTGAGACATGTATTCTTGAACTGATTATGAACACTGAAACTTCAACTGTTTATGGCATACTGAGTAATCTATACTAAAACTCAGGGGTATCAAACCCAAGTCTATATTGAATGCGCATTGAGCTCACAACGTTTAGAATGAAAGTCATGAACGAATTATGAAGCTATAGAATAGAAGCTCTACAACTATTCAAGGAACTAGGCTTAACTATATTTTTTTGAGGCAATTGATACGTCGTAAAAGAAACGTATTGTACGGAGAATCATTAATATTCCCAAACATAGAGAGTTAGCCTCACATACCTTAACTTCCTGCTCTTGAGTATAATACAACATTCGCCAACCCCTTCAACTTCAATATATATCAATACAAGTCAAAGGGATTCCGTATTAGCAATAATACTCATGTTTTGGTCACTTAGGCATTTTCTAAAACACTTGGTGGCATAAAGCTTCACAGTCCTTATTAATGGTGTCTCTACACCCAATAACCCATTCTCTTGCTCCTAGATAAATTCTAAAGTCTCAAATAGTTGATTATTCTTTATCGCCCATAAGGTAAACAACACCCTTAACCAATAATCAACAATCAACAAGCCAAACCTATAATTGTTCATGTTTTTCTATCAAACCCATCAACTCATATCTCATGATGAGTCAATAATCATTAATCCAATGCTAGAATCAATTAGAGGGTAAAGATATTACCTTTTTGATGTTCAATCTTCTTGAATTCGAGTTCTAGGGTTTCTTCTCTCAACAATGATGCCCCAAATGAATATCTACTGATATGGAGGGTTTACCCATGTTAATAAGATGTTGTGATA